CTTAGACTTGCAAAATCCCTTTATAAGAGTAGTATAAGTCACTACAGTTGGGAAACAGTCCTTGCTAACCATGAACTCAAACATCTGCTTGGCCTCCTCTAAGCGATCGTGCATACAAAACCCATTGATCAATGAACTGTAAGTGAAAATATCAGGATCTATAGACCTTTTGATCATCTCCTCGTACAATTTCTCAGCCTCTAAAAGCTTCCCCTCTTTCACAAACGCATCGATCATTGCGTTGAAAGTGACTACATTTGGATTGATTTTCCTCTCAATCATATCACTCAGTAGTCGAGAGGCATCACTCCATCTTCCGTAATTACAAAGGCAGCTTATGAGGGAGTTATAGGTAAAAACATCTGGTCTAATTCCTTTGTTCTCCATTTCATTGAATAGGTTGCGTGCATCATTCACATGTTTGTATTTGCAGAGACCATCGATAACTGTGTTGTAGATTACAACATCTGGCTCTAGTTTTCCTTTCTCCATCTTCTTCAACAAACTCAAAGCCAAATCAATATCACCTCTCTTACATAATCCATTTACTACAGCACCATATGTAACCAGATTTGGTTGACAGCCTTTCACAGCCATCCGATCAACTAGCGCCACTGCTTCTGAAGCTTTGTTGTGGAGAAAAAGACCATGAATCAAAGTTGTAAATGTAACTGTATCGGGTTGATACCCCATTTCCACCATTTGATCAACTAAAGCTACGGCATCATAAATCCTCTTATTGTGACAGTATCCATTGAGAAGAGAAGAAAGCGTGACAATATCGGGCTCATAACCAAGTTTCATCATCTTGCCAAGAATAGCTAATGCAAGAGAGATTTGAGATCGTCGGCAGAAACAGTTAATGAAAATACTGTAAGTGTAGAGATCATGTGAAATTCCCAAATTTTGCATCTTCTCCCCCAAGGAGATGACAACATCGAACTTCTTCATCTTAGCGATAGCACTCAACAATTTACTGAACTCAACAATGGAAGGGAAAGGACGAGACTTGACCATGTCACTGAACAGATCAACAGCTTCATCTAATTTTAAATCACTCAGCACATTTCTACTCAGTTTCTCCCTGTAACCATCAGAGAAAGCTCGTACCCAGCAACAACAGAAACTGCAATGACTAAAGGAAGGAGGAGCAGTTCCAGGTTTACCTTTTCCGAGAAGACTCCGATGAACAAATCTATTTCCCGTCGATGCAATCGCAACAAACAATCTCCTCATCTTCTAAATCACTGTAAACTTGTATAAACCCTAAATGATGAACCTTTTGGAGAAATAGAGAAATAGAGAGAGCAAAGGTTTCAACTTTTGGTTCTTCCAACCAAACCAGAGAGTGAGAGAGACTCACGAGGAAAAGTGACTGATTTCATTTTGGCACCACCGTTGGATTATTTGACCGGTCAAGATTTCATCTTATCATTTCCAGTTTTATCAATTTTATCACCGGTTTGGTTTCATAATACATAATTTTTGGGTTTTGTCTTAATTTAAAAGGCTTATACCCAAATCAAACGCCCATTTCACAATTAAAGACCCTTAAAAGTTCGGGTTAGGCGCCGTCTAGGCGGCTAGGCGGAGAAAAATCGGATCAACGATTATTCTTACCGATTTGGACAAAAATTGTCGCGGCCCCCTTCCGATCAGTACCAAAGCGGTTAGGCGGCCGACTTTTTAAACATGGGTTTTTACCAAAAAGATTCAAAATAGTGGTTTCCGGTTCAAATTGAAATATTAAAATATAGCCTCGCCGTAAAAACCTTCTACTTCGCCGAGAAAACTAACATCACGATTGATCTACTGAAACTAGCAGAAACGGACACCACATACTACAAATAAAGAAAAACGGAGCAGTGGGGGCACTCTCACAGTAACGGCGAGGGGCGCTGCTGATCGGAGAAGACGATCGGAAATCTGGATTTTGATGGACGGCGCAGAGGGTAGGGCGACTTCGTCGAGAATCTGGTTAAGTTGATGATATGGATGTTCAATCAGAGGTTTGGCACAATTTTGTCAATTAAGAAATATAGTAACAAAATGGAAACTGAATACTAAGCTCACTTTTGTCGATAATAAAATTGAAATTTTGGAAAAAAAAACAAGAAAAAAATAATCAATTCGTTTGTTTTGGAACAATTTTAGTGGCAAGCAGAAGTTGGTTATCTAGAAAAATATCTTCTTACTGAAATTAGCTCATTCTTGGTAATGTTTTTTTCATCAATAAGATTCAGATAAAGATCGATTTGGTTTATCTTGAATTAACACTTTTAGTCGACAATAATTATGTAACCAAACTTGAAATCTGTTATTTATTTTTTATTTTTGCAAAGGCCGAGACATTGAACTCCGTTGGTAACTTGGTGTGATAACTTTTCTATGAATCGAATAATCTTTCTTCTACTTTCAAATAAAATTTCACACAAATTTTCTACTTCTTTGTTGTCCTAAATGTATCAGACAAGTCATATGCATTTACCTCAAATCAAAATAAAAGGCTCTCTCGTAAAAGTATGCAGACAACTTTTGAAGTTCTAATGGTTTAAAATTTCAAACCAAAAACATGCATGAATTCGCGGGGGAAGATGGTTGCTCTGCAATTCGTTTCTCGAGGATTGACTGATTCAAGAAAGCATGTCCAGATAGCTTTTGTCCAATCTCCCATCGTGCAACATATTAATCACCATACTTATCGTTGAAGCATCTCCAGCAAACCCGCAATTCCTCATTTCTTTGATGAGTTCAGCCGATGCCGCTTTGTCACCATCTCCAAGGCGTGCCCTAATCAGCGTATTATACGTACCACTATTGGGACGAGGCCCGTTTTCTTTCATTTTATTGAACAAGGAATCTGCTTCCTCCTTTAAACCTTTCCTACAAAATCCTGAGATCATTGAAGTGTATGTTATAACATCATGTTTCACTCCTTTAAGGCTGAGGCTACAAAATAGAATCCACCCATCTTCTATCTTCCCAGCCTTACACATCCCTTCAATCATAATATTATATGTGACGATATCAAGTTCCATTATACTCTTTTGCAGATCATGGAATATGACCAATGCTGTCTCTAGCTTCCCGTTATTACAAAGTCCATCTAGTAAGATATTGTATGTCATAATATTGGGATGCACACCATCAGAAACCATCTTTTTGAATACCATTTGGGCATTATCACAATCTCCTGCTTGAAAAAACCCTTGGATAAGTGTAGTGTAAATGATTGTGTCTCCAACCAATCCTCTTTGAGACATCTCGCGGAATAGATCCATACCATCTTCTACCTTCTTAGCTTTGCAAACTCCCTTTATGAGAGTGCTATATGTCACTACATCTGGGAGACAATCCTTGCTAACCATGAACTCAAACATCTGTTTGGCCTCGTCTAGACGATCGTGCATACAAAACCCGTTGATCAATGAATTGTAAGTGACAATAGCAGGATCTATAGACCTTTTGATCATCTCCTCGTACAATTTCTCAGCCTCTACAAGCTTCCCCTCCTTTACAAACGCATCGATCAGTGCATTAAAAGTAACTACATTTGGGTTGATTCTCCTCTCGATCATATCACTCAGTAATCGAGAGGCATCGCTCCATCTTCCGTAATTACAAAGGCAACTAATGAGGGAGCTGTAGGTAAAAACATCTGGTTTTATTCCTTTGTTTTCCATTTCATTGAATAGGTTGAGTGCATCATTCAAATGTTTGTATTTGCAGAGACCATCGATGACTGTGCTGTAGATTACAACATTTGGCTCTATATTCCCTAATTCCATCTTCTTGAGCAAACTCAAAGCCAAATCAATATCACCTCTCTTACATAATCCATTTACTACAGCACCATATGTAACCAGATTTGGTTGACAGCCTTTCACAGCCATCCGATCAACTAGCGCCACTGCTTCTGAAGCTTTGTTGTGAAGAAAAAGCCCATGGATTAGAGTGTTAAATGTAACTGTATTAGGTTGATACCCCATTTCCACCATTTGATCAACTAAAGCTACGGCATCAGAAATCCTCTTACTGTGACAGTATCCATTGAGAAGAGAAGAAAGCGTGACAATGCTAGGCTCATAACCGAGTTTCATCATCTTGCCAATAACAGCTAAAGCAAGAGAGAGCTGAGATCGTCGGCAGAAACAGTTTATGAAAATACTGTAAGTAAAGAGATCATGAGCAATTCCCAAGTTTTGCATCTGCTCGCCGAGAGAGATGACAACATCGAACTTCTTCATCTTAGCGATAGCACTCAACAATTTACTGAACTCAACAATGGAAGGGAAAGGACGAGACTTGACCATGTCACTGAACAGATCAACAGCTTCATCTAACTTTAAATCACTCAGCACATTTCTACTCAGTTTCTCTCTGTAACCACCAGAAAAAGATCGTTCCCAGAAAAGATTAAAGGAAGAAGGAGCAATTCGAGGACTACCTTTCCCCGGGATTTTCCGACGAACAAATCTCTTCGTCGTCGAAGCAAATGCGTATGAAATCGATCTCATCATCTTCTTGATCTCAAGAGTCCACAGCTTTTTTGCTCTGCGAATTGCAAAACCCCTTCTAGATCGATTTAACCCAGAGCAAGATAAATTGATAAACCGGTGGTAAACTTCCGGTTTAATATTTATTGCCATGCTGGTTTAGTAACAATCACCCTTTGCCGGTTAACATTTTCAATTAATATTTCTTTTGGGAACAAACTTGAATAATAATTTCATTTTTTTCAGCAAATAAATAAATAACTAACCTTGAATAATAATAATTTCATTAATAATTAACATTTTTGACATCGGCAATTTAACAAATATATATATATATATATATATATTCTTGAACTCAATGGAAAGTCATTCTATAACTTTTATAACAGACAAAATCCAATTCTTTAATTGCAACACAAGGCAATGTTCTCATCATTTATTCCCATAAAGATATAATAAATCACATAGCTTATATATGCATAGTTGGATTGCTTTGCCTTGGCATCTCTGCTTCTGTTGATGAAAGAATGAAGCTAAGCGAGTCAAGAGGCGAAACAGAGAAGCACAGGCGCCAACAACATTTCGAGCACGAGCTTAAGAACATGATCTCTTCGTTAACCCACATGGGAGGAGATAAGGCAGGACCTAGCCAATACGATGTAGAGGAGGATGGTATCAGAGTCATCACGCTTTCTGGATCCAACCTTGGAGCCACCATGAAGACCGAGCTTGACAACAATCATGGAGACAGAGACAAAAACGGCGACCACGAGCTTGATTTCCTCAGCACTTATGTTAATAGCAACTTCCAAGCTGTGAACAACTCCATTATGATAGGGGCCAACTACGAGACTCATGATCCTGGCGTTCATCTTGACATCTCGGGCGATGTGGAGAAACCTTCGGTGAAGATACCTGCGAGGAGTTCAAGGGGAAAGAAGGGTAAAACTCCTGCTAGAAGTGACCGTCGAGAATCTGAACATACTAATTGAATGGTATGGTATCTTCATTGACAAAGCAATTTGGTTGCCTTCTGTATTAATTCTCTTTTATTCTCTTGTCTTGCCTTCTCTAAATAATCAGAGAAATTGTGCATGCCAAAGCACTTTACTTTCTCTTCGAGGTTGTTGTTTTCTCTTGCGCGTATTATTAAACATGTTTCTATTTAGTATTTACAGTCTATTCTCAATATAAATATATGTATGAAGCAGGGTGTGGTCAATCCTCTAAGATATGATTACTTGGTTGATGAGGGAATGTAGAGACCATACCTTGTCCAAAGAAATCACACTCCTCAGACCTCAATTGTAGTTTTGGACCAATGGTTTATTTGCTGGAAATCAAAGATACTATCATACTAAGCTGAGCCTGAATTGAATTGCCACACACCTGAAATACAGAAATATCTGAATTCAATGATTATAGAGAAGAACTCTTATGTTGTAGACAGCCACATACCGATTGAAACATAGGGTGTGCATAACCACATAAATACAGAGCACGCCAATGTGTCAAAAGCATAACCAATCAAGGTCCAACAATAATGGCAGGGCATGCATTAAGTCAGTACAGAATAGTTAAGCTTTTAATTCAAAAATAACAAAAGAAGAACATAACATTCATTGCAAGACAATGCCACTTTGACAGCTTGGGAGTACCTAAACTACTGTATGTCCTCAGAAGCATGAAAACAGTAATTATCATAAGAAAATTACCAATACAAGAAAAAATCTGCATTGTATGCATCACGAATAGCCGCAACGAAGTCTTCACGCCTCAAAGCTTGATCATCATGTCTTTTGAAATTGAGAGCGAATCCCTGAGACATAAGGACAAAGAGAGGTGACATAAACACCTTTTAAATCTCATTTGCTTCACCTTAGTCCAGTCCAGTTAAGAAGCATAATATTTTCCTTGTTACAACCATTCTACCTGCATACCGAAACATCTTTAAAATTCTGAAATCTTCTTGAAGGGGGGTTCTTTGAGTTCTAACCACTGATCTTGCGTTATTCAGTGTTTCGGTCAACTCTTTTCTGAAACCTTACCTGGAAAATAATTAAATCGTCAAATTCATAAAATTCAGACAAAGCAGCAACAAAAAAAGTATATGCAGAAAAAAGTTGTAATTAGACTAGCAGCAAAAATGTTGATTTACCACACAATTTTTCTCTCAAGGATGATTGAACTGTTTAAGAAAGCATGTCCAGAAAGCTTTTTTCACTTCTCCCATCATACGACATATTAGTGACCAAGCCAAAGGTTGAAGCATCTCCAGCAAACCCGCAACTCCTCATTTCTTTGATTTTCTACACAAACCATATGCTTCCTACTTTAAACCTTTCTCACAAAATCCTGAGATCATTATAGTGTAAGGTTTAACGTCCAGCTTTGCTCCTTTGAGTCTGAGACTACAAAATATATCCAAAGTAAATAAACTAACTAATATCAAGGTCCATATTACTCTTCTGCATAGCCTTAAATAATTTCAACGCCTTTTCAGGCTTCCCATTATCGTAAAAACCGCGCAACATAATGCTATGAGTTACAACCCTAGAGCTACAATAACCGTGTATCAAACAGCTGTAGGTAATTACATTGGGGGAAATTCCTTTCTCCTGCATTTCAGTGAAGAGATTTTGAGCATCGCCGTGGTGGCCGTCTTTGCAAAGACAACCAATGATGGCATTATAGATTCGAACATTGGCTTCGATGTGGCTTTCCTCCATCTTCCTAAGCATATTCAAGGCCGACTCAGAGTCACCAATCTTACACATTCCATGTATAATTGTTCTGAAAGTAAATCCGTCAGGTTGATGACCTTCTTCAACCATTCGATCAAACAGAGCTACCGCTTCTAGCATTCGATCCTCAATACAAAAACCCTTTATCAGCGTGTTAAACGTAACAACATCGGGCTGGAAACCAAGTTTAGTGATCTTGCCAAATGTCGACAAAGCAAATGAAAACTTATGACAGTCGCAGAAACATTTTATCAGAATGTTGAAGCTACAGATATTACATGGAATCTGGAGCAATTCCATCTTCTGATAGAGAGAAATCGCAACATCGGGAAGCTCCATCCTCACGAAGATACCTATTAGTTTATTGAAATCAATTGCTGAATAGAAGGGACGAGATCGAACCATTTCATTGAACAAATCAATGGCATCATCTAAGCTTTGGATATGATGAGAACCACTTGTCAATTTCAATCTCTCTCCTACAAAAGTTGCTTCGCTACCACTGCAATGGACTGAAGAAAATGGTAGACGCTTTCTAATCCTACCTTTCTTTGCAACGCGAAGATGAATCAATCTAGTGCTGATCAATCTAGCAGAAGCAGAAGCAGAAGCAGAAGCAGAAGCAGATTCAGATCGTAAAACCCTAGCCAACATTTTTGTTTCGCCTGATTTCGTCGATCTCTAAACTCTTAACAGTGTTTCAATTAGACTGCCACAGTACGACCGGTTCAATTGGATTCGCTTGTTGACCGGTTCAGATAAAATTTCGAGATTCACGTTTTACTTTACTTTTTTTTTTTTTTTTTTTTTGAGTCTACCATGTAATGTAACTAAACTAAAGAAAAACTTTAGTCCATTTAGCTGATTTCTCTGGTGATTAACAAAAAAAAAAAAGAACAGAATCAAAGATTTGAATATCTGTAACTTTTTGGTTCATATCTCCATGAAACTTGAAGTGATTCAATTATGGATCAATTTTAAAGACATGGCATTAAGATTTTTGTGAGTAATATAGTCAATATTTTAGTATAGATGAAGAATAAGAAATGGTGCAGAGGAAATAAACATGGGCTTTCGACAAGTGTTAAAGATGTAAGTAAAATAAAAAGACTGTTCTTGATGCCATTTTCTAAAGATGAGTGTATACAACAAGTGTGTGTACCGGGACAAATGAATTCAAATATTTCTGCTCCATTTCTGAAAATATGACGGTTTTCCAACGGTATATATGGCTCTGAAATCTCTCAAGATTATTGATGAATGCTGTCTTTGCAAAGGCGATCAATGATGGCACTATAGATCACAACATCAGCTTTGATGTGGTTTTCTTCCATCTTCCTAAGCATATTCAAGGCCAACACAGTGTTACCCATCTTACACATTCCATTGACAATTGTTCCGTAAGTAACTACGTCAAGTTGATGACCATTTTCTACCATCCGATCGGCGAGAGCTACTGCTTCAAGAACTCACCCTCGAGGGAAAGACCGTTCATCAGTGTGGAAAAAGTTACGACATTGGGTTGACATCCAGTTTCAACCATATGATCAAATAAAGCCACTGCTATAGAGATCCTATCTTCGAGACATAACCCGTGGAGCAGCGTGCTAAACGTAACAACATTGGGCTGAAACCAAGTTTAGTGATCTTGCCAAATGTAGACAAAGCAAGAAGATTCAAACTTATGCAGATTTTACTTTTTTTTTAAAAAACAAAGTAATCACATCTTAAGTTTTTTTTTCCAGTATATTACAAAAAGCAAATTATGTAACTGTGAAATCATCAATATACGATAACCGGTTTCTGATTATATACCGGTTTAGCTCCTCTTAGCGTTTTTAAGATTACGTACTGTCATTACAAGCTGTTGTCTCTCACCTTCCACTTCTGCAAATCTCAAACTTATCTCTGAGTATCTCTCTCGCATCTCCTTCAGCTCCATCTCCATCGATCCATTACACTCTCGCAAAGACGCGATTTCCGCTACAAGAACTCGAATATCTTCGTTTTCTTGACCATTTAGAGGCTCATTCTCACTCATCTGTTTCATCACCGGTCAAAAAAAACAAAGGAAAAGAGTTAAATTTTCTAATGCTCAAAATGTTGTTGGGTTGCAACATTATGAAAATGTTAACAACCTCATGGCTATTTTGATCGAGTTGGTCGAGTTTAGTTTCCAGTTCCTCAATTCTGTTCTTCAGATTCTTTTCCTTTTCGATGAACATATTTGATGAAGATTCAAGAGCAGTTTCCTTCAGTTTGATTTGACCCTGGATCACAAGTTCACAAGCTTATCATCGACTTGAAGATATCAATACTGAAACGAATACTGTAGATGCATATATACCTCAAGAAGCTTTAATTTATCTTTCATAACCGCAACTTCTTTAGATCCACCATGAGCTCCTACTGGACTTCCTTTGTTGCTGTTGTTTCTTTGCGCGGTTTTCGTTAAGTTGTTAATCGCGGTTCTGCTTTCTTTCAGCTTCTTCTCAAGATTAGTGATTGCTTCTTCTTTCTTCTTCAACTCACCTTTAACTTGTGCCACTTGCTTCTTGTGCTTCTCCATCTCCAAATCATTCACAGATAAAGAATGCTTTAGATCATCGCACTGAGCTCTTACGGTTTCTAGCTCTGATTGTAAGTTTGAAATTGCTGTTTCTTTTTCATCCTTGGCAAGCTTCACCGCTTGCAACTCCGCTGCTAGAGACTCTGACTCTTTCCTCATTAGTGAGATATTGCTCTCTAACTCAATTTTCGTCATGTTCTCTCTCTGTACTGAAGCTTCGGCTTCCATAACCGATTTTTTCGTCTTTTCCAAATCAACTCTCAGGTTCTCTGCTTGCTCTGCCTGTAACATGAGACTATTTTGGTTCTTTTTCAGATTCTCAATCTCGTCCTTCAGGATTTTGATCTCTTGATTTAAATTTGCAGTAACATCTTCTTCATGCCTCTTCTGATTCTCTATATCTTTGGATTTCTCATCAAGATTCTCTAACATTCCCTCCATCTGACTGGTTTTGAAACTCAGCTTTTCAGAAAGCTCGTGGAGCTTGGCCTCGTACTCGGCTTGGTTTGCTCGGAGCTCATCATTAGCGTTCTTGAGCATTTCTTCTAGTTGACGTTTCTGCATTCGTAATTCGTTAGCTTCTGTCATCGCCTTCATAGCCATCTTCTCATTTGATGTAAACATTGAATCCATCTGCTCAGAGAGTCTCTTGAATTCATCCTGGAGTTTTCCGGCTACACCAGCGTTTTTCCACCTCGTTTTCCTTAGAGTTTCTTCGGCTTGGATAGCTCTTTGCTCTTGCTCCACTTTACCTCGTGTGACAGCATCGATGTCTGCCTCGAATACCCGAGCCTGTTTCTCCATCTCTTCTTCCAAGGTCTCCATTTGTGTTTCAAGTTCTTTAATCCGGCACAA